ACAGGCTTGGAGGGAGTGCATTTGTATGCTAACAGCTTCTTTACAAAAAATGCTGTAGCTGATCTCTCTGCAAACACCCACAGCAGTCCTCTTAAACAAAGGCAGCCAAAGCTAAGCAGCTACACTGGCCAGTCCAGTTTGGTTTCAGACCAGTTGCCCAGGGTGCTTGGTAATGAGATAGTTGGTATTTCCCCACTGTATAGCTCAGCAAAGTCACTGGCAATCCACTTACCTTAACCTCAGCTGTCTCCACAGTGAAATCGTGTGCTCAGACCTCTGGAGTCTTAACCCCAAGTCCACCTTTCCCATGCTTAAGTCTTGAGCTGGTCATCTTGAGATGCAGTCAACCAGGAGCATCCCTCTAACCAGACTTTCACAGCTACCTGACAATTTTGCCTTTTTCCCAACCACTCTCTTGACTTTCTTTGCTTCAGGATGAAAACGACAACCCCCCCACATTCAGCAAGCCCTCCTACGTTATAACCATCATGGAGGACATTATGGCAGGTATGGGGCATACCCTGCTCCTTTTCTAGGCTAGCAGAAGGGCCCTGGGGTTCCTACAGCCAGAAGTGGGGGGATGATGGCTTTCTGGAGAGGTAGCCAGAGACATGGCAGTTTTGTAGCTGAGGGGCCTGGGGCTTTGGCTCCATTGTGCATGCAGGTGATGGGACCTCTTGGCTGGGTGACCTGCAGGAGTGGTGTGGGGGCACAGGGCAGCTGGGTAGAATTGCTTCAGGGTGCAGATGCTCACCCGAGCCCTCATTTCTGACTCCCGGAAGGAGCCACGGTGCTGTTTCTCAATGCCACTGACATGGACCGGTCCAGGGAATATGGGCAGGAGTCGATCATCTACTCACTGGAGGGGTCCTCACATTTTCGGATCAATGCTCGCTCAGGTGAGCCTTTGTACATGTTCTTCCTCTTTTCCTTTCAGTTCCCTTTCTTCATTTTCCCCTGGTTTTCTGCCCCACCATTGTTCCTCTTTCGCCTTCCTCCTCTCCCTGGAGCAGCCTGCTTAGGAGACACAAAGTCTAAGGGATTCACCAGATTTCAGACACTACCACTTTCCTGGTCACAGCGAGAGCTTTGACTGAGGCATCAGTGGAAGCTCAGCTCCTGGTGGAAGTGACACCTAAGAAAAGCTTAGGCTGCAAGGTCTGATGTTATCTAAGGAGAGGCTGCCTGCCTTCCTGCGCTGACATAATTTTCAGTTTGTTATGGGCAGAAACGAGTGTGTTGTTAGATGAGCTCCTGTGGGAAGTTACAGCAGGAAGTTTGCAGGAGCTTACTGACAAGCTGACCTTTCCAGGACCCATGTATTTAAAACTGAATAAGAAGAAAGGGCCCATTTGTGAAGGACCCTGTTTCTGGTTTTGAGTGTCCCTTTTTTTCACCAGTGCCCCTGTTCACCATACGACATCTCTAATCTCTCTCATCCCTTGCGGCTGCAGGAGAAATCACGACGACATCTTTGCTGGACAGGGAGGCCAAATCCGAATACATCCTCATTGTCCGGGCAGTGGATGGAGGCGTGGGCCACCATCAGAAGACAGGCATTGCTATGGTGAGTGTGTGAAGGAGCAACTCCCATCTCCTCAAGCCATAGGTGCCTGCCTAGGGCTGGCATTGGGAAGGGCTGCCCAGGCACCAATGCTTCAGTTCTGTATGCTATCAGTGTTCAATTTTAGCTGTGTGAATGGGTAAAGAGCTTACAGTGGTATCTGCCCTCTGGGCTACTCCTACCACTGCTCACAGCCCTTGCACAATGACTATCCGGGCTGTGTAGACCTTGAAATCAGTCTTCCTTTCCTGGCAAGCCATTCACTCAGGAGCCACTTGACCTTCCAGAGCTTTATGTGTCCAGCTCTCCATGTGAAGGCAGTAGCAGGTACCTATTCCACCTGCAGCATGACTCCCTTTGTTCATGCCTCTTGAGAAAATGCTTAGTTGGAGAGCCTGCAGGCAAGCTTAGTTGTTCTTGATGACTACTATTCACATACTGCCTGCATCAAGGGTTTCCAACCAGTTTGCGATGCCTAGGCTCCTCAGACAGTTCAAGTGGAGGTAAAAGCCATTGTACTGTGGACTGAAGCCCAGTGCTTTGCCTTGCCCTTTGCAGACGTCAGGGAGGCCAGCTGTTTGCAAAGGTTTTGTAAGTCTTTGGAAATATTAGGAGGTCAAAAGCCAAAGATCCATCTATCACTGCTCATGCCACCATGTTGGCTTGAACGTTTCATAACATTTGTGTGCTCTTGCCCCTTGGAATACCCAGTTGGGTCGCAGGAGAGATGTCCCATGCAACAGAGGGTGATGCAGAGATATATTGTGGTTGTGCTGAGAAGATCCCTAAGATAATTGTTGCTACTGCTGAGAGCAATCAGGAAGTGTATGATCCATATAGCAGACCAGAAGCTCCCTCGGCAGCCTCCCTGAGGCACATGACAGCCATGGCTGGGCAACAGCATGGCAAGATGGATGCTGGTTTCCCCTTTGGGGATCCGGATGAGATGATGTTCTCCTAATAGTTTTATACAAAGGCAAAACTCTTTGCAACACATATTGCAACTAAAAAAAAAAAAAAAACCAAGAAAAAAAACACACATCATAGTTCTTAAAAAGTTAAAGAAAATTAAAACCTGGTGAGAAGTGGGTGGTAAATTCAGTTTGTCTGCTGTCATTAACAAGGATATATACCTGCGACTCAAAGCTGTTCCCTATAATCATTCTTGATCTGGGAATAAGAGTCCATTCACGGGCTTTGCGAGGTCCCTGGGTGTCAGACAAGCACATAAGATACTCAGAGAACAGGTGGGTCACCAACCTCCCCCGGGACCACTGCTGTGCTTTGGCTTGGGCCTGGGGACTGTGGCGTCCAGATTCGCCTCTTCTGCCACCGGGTGGCGCCAGCAGCTCAGCCTGGCGCGGTTGCAGGACCCGCTTACTTGGGCGCAGAGGAGACCCCAGGAGACGCTCAGCCAGGCACCGGGGGCTCAATCCTGCCCCACTGCCCTCCTTCCCTTGAATTACAGCTCTTCCCTCAGGTACCTTTATAGACTCACAGGCTGGATTGAAATGGGTGATGCGGGCAGGTGAGAGACTCCTGGACAACAGAATGCATCTCAGAGGCTCACTACTGTCACTTAAATGCCACTTCCCAATGCCGAAAATGAAGCTAGGTAACACTTCAGAGCACCACCCTCTCCCATGCTTCCTTGTCTTTGCACCTCCCACCCCCGTTACTGTATCCTCTCCTGCTTTCTCATTTATTCCTTCTATTTTTTTCTCTTTTTACCAGTCAGATTTTCCTTCCTTTCCTGCCATGCTCCCACTGTCAACTCTCTCCCACCACCATGACCAATTTTGCATCCCACCCCTCCAGTGAAGTAGCTGCTTGAAAAAACACCTAGTGCTCCCACAGTTCTTTTAACTGCAAGGTAGTAAGTACATGTGAGCCAAACCAAGATCAGATATGCCAAGGAGTCTTTGCTGTAAAGATGCAAGAGGTTGTTTTTCTGCAGGCTTTCCCTCTGGAGGGTGAACATGTGTTGGGTACCTGGTGCTGCTGTACCCACAGGGGACACACCATGCTGCCCCAGGAACCAATACCACTTGCCTGCTCTCTTGCAGGTGAACATCACGCTGCTGGACATCAATGACAACTACCCCACGTGGAAGGATGAGCCATACTTCATTAACCTGGTGGAAATGACCCCCCCCAACTCGGACGTCACCACAGTAAGTGCAAGGGAAGGTGGCTGTTGTGCTAAAAGCCTTTTCCTTTCACCTGGAGAGTTTGTCACCCACTTGGCTGGAGCAGGGAGTCATCTCCTAACTGGTGTTACGTTCAGTCAGGCACCATCTGAGCCTCCTCACTGCTGCCTGTCCCATGTGTTTCTCTTCTCTGCTGGGATTTTTTTTTTCCTCCCTAGATTGCGTGGGGTTTGGCCACATTCTCCTTTTCTTAGCCTCTCCTGCAACCTCCTTCAAGGACCTCTCTCAGAGACATTGATTTACAGCCTTTCAAGTCCCTCTGGTGAAATAAAAGAGGAGAGAGGGAGGCTTGTACTCCATCACACCAGGAGAAAAATGATGGGCAGGAAACGGAAAATAAATGAGAGAAAAGTGAAGAGAATCCACAAAATCATATAAGGAGGAAGGCTGCAATAGAAAAGGAGTTGTGGCAGGGAGGAAGAAAGGTCTGGCAGTGCAGCCTGAGCCCAAGGCTGGCATTTTCCTCTCTTCTGTGTGGCACCAGCCCCACTGCTCAGTGACTGCTTGCTGTCGTCTTGCCTTTGACATCCCAATTAGTTGCTGGGAAAATAATTATTGTGTCACTGATATGATGTAAATTCAGCTGCAGGACAAGCAGCAGGGGGCAGGGAAGTTATGAGTGTAATGAAGTTGTTTTTTTGTTAATGTAGGTGTCCCCTGTAATTATAAATGTCACAGGGAGAACAGTAAAGCACAAAATGTCTGGCATGGAGAACTCCACCAGTGAATTATTTCCAGTGCTTCCAATGCAGCAGCACTAGTTCCTCTGTGTGCTTGTTTGTCCTCTACGTTTTATTTTTCTGAAGGATGCTTGTTTCATAGCTGTCTTTATTTAAAAGTAAAAAGCCCATTGAGTTGCTGCGTGCTTGTGTCTTTCTTGCCGTGTCATTACCTCCCAGGCTTGCAGGACAATTTTAGTGAGATTTAACACCACAGCAGAGGTCTCAAGGGTACAAAATCTCTGCAAGTATCATGAAAATATATAGCTGTATGGAGAAAGGATAACTTCTTGCTGCTGCTGGTATGGAGAAGCCTCTTATATGAGCTCAGCCACATTTTTCGGCACTGGTGAATCTATGTGAGAACTCACTGTGGGAATTAATTCCCTGCGTTAATTTTTGCTGTTTCTCGGCGGCAGGTGGTGGCTGTCGACCCGGACCTGGGCGAGAATGGCACGGTGGTGTACAGCATCCGGCCCCCCAACAAGTTCTACAGCCTCAACAGCACCACGGGCAAGATCCGCACCACCGGTGTGCTGCTGGACCGTGAGAACCCCAATGCCCAGGAGGCCCTGCTCATGCGGAGGATCGTGGTGTCAGTCACTGACTGTAAGCCCTGCTTCTGTCCCACTCCTCTTTGCCACAGTGGTTTGTCTTGCTCCACCGTAGCTGGAAATTGCTGGTTCTCAGGTTGTGCAAACATGAACCTCCTCACCCTCCGCTTTCCCTTCATGATGATTTTCACGTGTTGAGTTGAATTTTCTCAGCCTGATTTTTCTTTTATGATGAAATTTCTTTTTCTTTTCTGTTTTAAGGGTAAGTTGCAAAGATGTTTCTGAGGTTAGAAAATGAGAGTAGGTTAAAACCTTCTGCTAAAACAAACCAGAAACCTTCAAAATGCAAGCACAGTCATTTCTGTATCAGGCATGATGAGGAGCCTGGGGGGCAGAAACTCCCCCTCTTCTCAGTTTGGCTTCGTCAGTATCTAGGAAAGTCACTTGAGCAGCTGGGAGAAAAGAGCTGATCAAGTGGTAAAATGTATTCTTCTCTGGAAAGAGGATCTTACGGAAACTTTTTTAGGAAAAAAAGATATGAAGATAATTTTCTGTTATCCAGCCTGTTTCCAAGAGGCAGGCAGTACATATAACCTCTGTCCCTTTATATTCTTGCACCACTCAGCACTGTGCTAAAGCCGTTGTCCCATCCATCCTGCCATAAAGAGATAAGCACAGGCTGGTGCTGCTCTTGTTTTAAAGCTGCATACACAGGTAGCCATTGGTCTGCCTTGCATGCCTGCTGCCAGAGTCAGTTTTATCCTGCCAGGGGACTGCACTCATTAGTCCAATGGGCAGCAGTGCAAGGGGTAACATGGACAGGTCAGTGCCTGGAGGGGACAGCACCATCCTGCATCACTGTCTGCACAGGAAGCAAGGGCTCCTTTTTAGGGGAAAGGGGTGGAAATGGTTGGAGGCATTAACCGTGAGACCCGATTCCTGGCCTCCACAGGTGGGAGGCCACCCTTGCGAGCTACCAGCAGTGCTACAGTTTTTGTCAACTTGCTGGACCTGAATGACAACGACCCCACTTTCCAAAACCTGCCCTTCGCCGCTGAGATCGCTGAGGGCCTTCCTGCAGGATCCTCTGTCTTCCAGGTGAGCATGTCCCATTGCTGCCATGCCCCACGCTGGGAGCTGCTGCTGCTGTTGCTGCCATCACTTCTGCAAAGCAGACAGTACATCCTGTCCATCCTCTAGCAATGCAACTGGGAAGATGCAGAAGGGGTTGTGCTATCCTACTACATGTGCTCGCTCCCAGCAGAGGGGATGCTTCAAGGCCCCTTTGTTTCAGCCCAGCATCCCTGAGGGCAAAGAAACACTCAGGATTTATGTACTGTGATTTTCATTGTCAGGACATGATCGGGCTCCCCGATGCTCACCCCTTTCATCCCTTCCGTCCACTCTCCCCGCCAGGTAGTGGCCATCGACCTGGACGAGGGTCCAAATGGACAGGTGACATACCGCATGCAGGTGGGGATGCCCCGCATGGATTTCCTCATCAACAGCACCAACGGGCTCGTCACCTCCACCACTGTGCTGGACAGGGAGAGAATTGCTGAGTACTACCTGCGGGTGGTGGCCAGTGATGCCGGTGTGCCCTCTAAGAGCTCCACCAGCACCCTGACTGTCAAAGGTGGGTGCATCAAGACCCCTCCAAGCTCTGCTTGGCTGCAGAGCCCCCTCTGATCCCAAAAAGATGGGTGACAAGGACACCTCACCAGAGGAAATGTAGTTTACATAGGAGATACACTGAGGAATCAGGTATATGATTTGACCCGTTGTGTCAGTTTTTATGTACGGTAACACATAGGGAGGGCAGCCCATTGCACTGCCATCTACACAGACCTCATCTTGCCCAGTGTGAAGTCAGCATAATGCAGAGATGGGGGAAATATGGCATTTCTGGCAGACCCTCCAAATTCCGTATTGTTTTTCTTTCATTCTCACATCCCCAGTGTTTCTTTTTATTTTGGCCTGCCTTTTGCTTCAGCATGTGGTTTGCATCAGCTGCATGTCTGGATAGCCCAAGCAATCCCAGTTCAGAGCTGGGCCTTTATTCTGTGGTCTGTCTTTAATTTAATACATTTCTACTTAGTGGCTTCACACAAGGCTAGTGCTGAGGATAAGGATCACCTGGAAATAAACTGACCTTGCATTATCCTCAGGCCAGGGCTTGGAAAAAGAAGTTTCTGGTCCTGTAACTCCAGAGGCCTTTTCCATACACCAGGAAACACTAAGCTTATATTTAAGCCCCCTTTCCTTTGAACAGGGATGGAAATTAGTTTGGTTCAAACAGTAACTTTAATTACAGTTATGTAAGGTTTCTTTGGATGTAAGGGGAGGCATCTGTAAGTGTCAGAGGCAACTAAAATAGAGCCTGCAGCCATGGGGACAGTTCTTTACAGCTGGTGCTCAGGCACCCCTACCACACAAATGGCAGGGAGCAGCAGGCAGGTGGTTTTGGGAGCCCAGCAGAAGTCAGCCTGGCATCTGCAGGAGGGGCAGCCCTGGGAGGGCACTCAGGTCTGCTCCCTCTTTCAGTTCTGGACGTGAACGATGAGAACCCTACCTTCTTCCCGGCGGTCTACAACGTGTCACTGCCTGAAAACGTGGCCCGGGATTTCAAAGTGGTCAGGCTCAACTGCACGGATGCTGACATTGGGCTGAATGCTGAGCTCAGCTACTTCATCACAGGTATGCCAACCTTGCAAAACGCTGCAAAAGGAATCTGTGGTTGTGGAAAGGAGCAGGCTGCCCCAGACCTTAGCCATGGTGTTCTGCACATCAGCGTTGCCTTTCCCAGCCCCTCCAAACCTTGTACGGTATCGCCCTCTGCTGAACAGCTCCGCTTGGCTCCGGCCTTGCTGACTGCCCGTGCCCTGCGCGCCGTGAACCCTTGCCGCAGGCATCCCCTGCCCTCACTCCTCCGGGATACAGCCAGGAAAAGCATGAGGATGGGCAGAATACGCTGGGGAGCAAGGTCTGGGACAGCATTCACATTTATGGTTGGAAGCCTCCCTAGAGTTTTAGGGTACCTTGTAGCCCTGTGTGCAGGTGGTTTTGGGTGGGCAGGGAGCAGGCAGGCATCTGCAGCACCTGCAGCAGGAGGCTGGGGAACCCCCTGGGACCCCTCATGCTTTGACTTGCAAACTGCACATGTGGCATTTAGCCCTCAGGAAAAGGGCAGAAATAGAAGTGTCATCGGAGAGTTGTTTTTCTCACAAAAGCAGCCTCACATTTCATCTCACAGCTGCTCTGGCTTCCCTCACAAGAGAAACAGTGTGTGTTGCCCCACAGCTACCGCAGGCCACATGCAGAGTTACCCCAGTTTGCTTCCGAAGCATTCAGGAAATGATCTGGCTCTTACATGATTCAGCTTTTCCTACAACCATCTCTCTTTTCCTGCGCTGTGAGGCAGGCATGGTGTTTGGTGTGGCAGAGAGAAGATGCTCTGCCCACTTCTGCTGCAGAGATGCTTTGCCTAGGACAAGAGACAAGCTCATCCTACAAAACTTGCATTGCTCACAAGTGTGTGCCCTTCAGGAGGGCAGGCTGAACATTTGTGTTTTCCACAGCTGGGCTGACCCCATGCCCAGGCTGTAGCATCGCATGCAGTGCGGACTCTGCTCCCTACATCCAGACAAAGGGTGACGTGGTACTTGTCTTTTGCCACAGGTGGGAACCAGGACGGCAAATTCAGTGTTGGCTTCAGAGATGGGGTGGTCAGGACAGTCGTGAGTCTGGACAGGGAGACTGTGGCATCATACACATTGATCCTGGAGGCTATCGGTAAGGATTTCCCACTGTTCCCATGGGACCACTGATACACAGCCATACAGGGTGGCTGTGTGTGTGCTGAGTGGCCTCATGGGCAAGTCAGACAGCAACCTTTGAGGCGCTCTATAAACCAGAACCTGTGTTTGGCATTAGCATTTCACAACTCGCATGCATTAATATGTCCTGACTCCAATATGACTTTTGCAGACAGTAAATTCACCCCTCAGGCTCACCCGAGGGCTTTCCCTTTCCCCCAGGGCACGCAAGGCCACCCGTTCCCAAGAAGCTCCACACCATTTAGGGCAGATCTCCACCTAGAAATGCCAGCACCGCAGCATTGTTCACCTAATGCCATGCCATGCCAGCCTTTGGCTCAGTTGCTGCTGATTAATCCAGAGCCACCTGGCACAGGCAGAGGGCCCATGTGCCAAACGCATCTTGGCCGTCATTCCCAGAGTTTTATAATGATATGCCTGTTTACAGAAGACTTTTGAAAGGACAAATAAGCGGCCTGGTCAGAAATCTTGGGGGCATGGCACTGCAGGTGCCACAGGGTCTGCAGCAGGCATGCTGCACCGGTTGGGTATTCAGGACTGGATCCCAAGCAGTAAAGGGTCTGTCTGCCCCTCCAATGGGTATCAGACTGCATGTGTTTTCCCAGTCAGCAGATCCTATGGGCTGAGTGGGTTTAATGCTCATTTGCACTGGGCATGTCAGAAAAGCCAAGCCCAACCTATGGTCCCCATTGCCTCATTGTTTGTGCCATGTCCTTATCTTCTGAACATCAACCGGTCCTGGTGCTCTTTAGCTGTGAGCTGAGCTGAGTCTACAGGAAACTCATCAGACCCATCTGCTTTCATCTCCCAAATCCCTGACCACCAGGAGTCCCTTCCAGCATACATCAGTCTCTTAGTCTATGAAGTTGCTTTAATGACTAGCTGTGTTTCCAGCCTTGCTGGGCAATGGTTCCATGGCAGAGTTTGGGGGTGGTTCAGCTTTTCCATTTTCTTTGAGGACAGGCAGAAAAAAACCAAACCACCCCATGGTTCAGTGTGGGATTTGCAAGCTGCAGAAAAGACAGGATTTTAGTTTAAAAATTATGATCCCATTATTTTCAGTAGCCGAGGGCTGAGCACCACCTCTGTGCAAGGAGGAGATGGAGGTGACCAAACCTCCCCTCACCTTTCTCTCCCATACAGACAATGGCCCCACTGGGAACCGGCGCACCGGGACTGCCACCGTGTATGTGACTGTCCTGGATGTCAATGACAACCGACCCATCTTCCTTCAGAGCAGCTATGAAGTCAGCGTCCCTGAGGACATCCCAGCTGCCAGCAGTATAGTGCAGGCATGTGGCTCTCTTCCACCAGGGCTCTTGTGTGGGTGAAGGGGGTCCCCCACTCTCCATGTCCTGGCACCTTGGCTGTGAGCTGCAGGAAGCCCAGGGCAGAGATTTTCTCTCCCCATAAGTGGTCTGTTGCCCCAGGATAGGGCAAGATGTGTTCTTTGTTGTGTGCTCCTCTGATTCTTTGCTAACCCAAGCTGTGAACACCAGGGAGAAGACAGAAAAGTGCAAACAAAAAATCAGAAATTCACCCATTTCTGCAGAGGTGAGAGGAGAAAACCCAAGTGCCATGCTGGTGAAGCCCCTTTGCCTGTCTGGGTCCCCATTTTCTCCCTCCTCCTGGCAGAGAAAAGGCTGAGAGCGGAGATGTCAAGGGGAAGGGAGAAGAGTGCATGCAAAGAGATGCTGTAAGAGGAGGGGGGGAACTGAGGGAGAAAAGCATTTGGACTTTGTTTTCATTTTTGTTCCTCTTTGAGGGAGCAGTGGGTAGAGCTGAATGGCTCAGTGAGCACTGAATGAATGCTGGCATTCACGCAGCCTCCAAGGGCTTCCAGCATCTCTTCAAACCCAGGGCTCTTCTGGAGCAGGCACCAAAAGCTCTTTGCAGAGGGCCCTGGGAAGGCTTCTCCTGCCTTGAATACCTCTCCCAGCACAGGGAAAGGGGCAGCTTTGTCCCTGGCTCTCGAAGGCAGGGTGAGTCACCAGGAGAGAAGAAAGGAGCTTTTTGCCTCTTGCAACAAAGGTTTGCTGGGAGCCCTGCTCTGGGCAGCTGGTCCCCAAGCATGAGCCCTGCAGCTCCTCGTCACCTGTTGTGCCATGGCACATGGTATGTGATGCCCGTACCACCATGCCTGCCTCCGGGGTCAGGCATCTGCCTACATTCCCTGCCCCTGGGGTGGAGGTGTGTAGGAGAGCTGTGCAGGCAGAGAGAAGCCCTGCCATGGGACTCCTAAAACTGAGCCTGCTTTTCGAATCAAAAGACTGTGAATGGAGGAAACCCTGACATCAAAGTCCCTCTTCTTAGAGAATGCTTCCCAAAAGAGTGGATGCCCTTGGAAGTGTGTGGCAAAGGAGAGGTGGTATTTGGGGGGAAGTTTGTTTTCCACAGAACAAAATCAGAGGGAAATGGAAATGGGCAATCATCTGGGTTTAGTTTAATTTACACCTTTAGGGTGAGCCATTTGTACTGAAGGTCTCCCCCTTCAAATACATCCCCCCATCACTGTGGCAACAAGAGAGTTTTCAAAGATTTCCCTATCCCCTTCTCTGAAAGCCAGGCAGCCCAGGGCCAGAAGAGAGCAGGACCAGAAGAGAGCATGAATGTCCCAGGCAGCCTGGAGAGGTCCTGATGTAGAGCTGCACATCATGAGGGTCAGAGACCAAGTGAAACCCAGAGAGATGGGGTTCGGTGCTCACTGTGAGGCCTCACTGGGCATTGACACTTCACCTAGAGGGGTGAACTCAATAGCTGAACATAATACGAGCAGCAGACCTGGAAGAATTAAACCACTTTTTGTATTTTCTACTGATTCCTTTAAGCATGTCAGCTTACCTGCTGGCTGTTGTACCCTTTCCCAGCAGAAATGAGCAGCTCAGCTTTGCGCAGTGGCTTTCCAAGCTGGCACGGGCCAAAAAAAAGAAAGTTCTCTTTAATGCATTTATAGGCATGTTTACCTGCTCCCACTGCTCATTTATTGAAACAGGTTTCCAGCAGACAGCTGCAGCATACATCCTTCCAAGCATCTACCACAGCAACCACAGGTCATTGCATGGAGAGAGGGTAGACAGGGACTGGATGGCACACAGGGGCCATGAGCCTTCCTCTGCCTGCTCAGGACCACAACTCAGGGACAATCTCAGCTGAGGATTCCTTTTTTTGAAGCATATTTGCCCCAGGCTGCCTCTCTTCAAGGCAGTATTTGTTAGGTAGCCAGCTAGCTCTTCTCTGGCCCAGGTTGTTTGTTCAGGTGCCTCGCAACTTGCACAATGTTTTCAAAAGGAATTAAGCAGCAATATCTTCTGGACTGCCCGGTGATAGCTGTGTGTGGTTGTAGTTCGGATGCCTTTACCTTTCCTGCCAGGAAATGGTAACCTGAAAGCATTTGGGAACCTGAAATAGCAAAATCTCTTGTCGCCTTGCAGAATCACTGCCTGGAAATGAGCTGCTCAAAGGGGCTCTGCCAGGATGTTCAGGATACCAGGGGCTGCTTGAGGAGGGAACTGAGCCTGAACCAAAAGCCTGGGAAAGAATAGCATTACAGGGTGAGTTAGTTCCTGCTGGA